ATTTGAATTAGGCTAAAGTATATTTTTGTTTCTCTAATTTTATGTAAAATTTTAATTTAATTCTTTAATTTTATAAAATATATTTTTAATTTTTTAACTCTAATATCGCTAGTTTCAAATGTTTACTTTTTGTTCTAATCATTGTTATTTTAAAAAATTTAGACTTAATAAATCAACATTTGAAAATGTATTATTAATATTTAAAAGTTCAATGTAAATTTTTTGTGTGATAAAACTAATAATGTTAAGGTTAAATGACTAAAAATATATTTTATAAAATTAAGGAATTAAAATGAAACCTTATGTAAAATCAAAAGACTGAAAATATACTTTAACTTTTAATTTATTCAATTAAGTAATTTTTAAACTGCATTGAATTGATAAACAATATTTTTTAAATTTTTGTCTTTGAACTATTTGTCATTTTATCAAAAAAAATAAACAAAATTTTTTATTAAAAAAAGTCTACTTGAATTATAAAATCGAATAGATTGAATCAAACATCAAACTCAATTTGATTTGATTTGATATTCAATTGCTGATGCTCGTTTGAATATAATCCAATAACATTTTGACAATTATATTAGGTCTTAACTTGCAAGAATAATCTGCATTTCAAAGTCCAAAGCAAAAGGAAATAAAATTAAAAAAATACGGAGTTATGTAATTTTTTTAATATTTGTAGTAAATGTTGATAAATAATATTTTATAAGGTATTCTCGTTAATTATTTGAATGATTTCATGACGATCGCATTACGCATTTTTTGTTTTTGACCCCGTATGTATAAGATTTTTTAGACATGTTGGTTTAAAATTAAAAAGTAAATAATTTTTAGATAGTTTGGAGATTTTATCAAAAGAGATGTATTTTGTTCAATTTAAAAAAACAGATATTATGTTATGTTTAATTACGATAAGAAAAAATAACTAAGCTAAGATATATAAAATTCTTTCAAAGTTTGAGTCAGTTGTATATGACCTGTCTCATCATTTAATATTTAAAATTAACTCCCTTAACGATTTATTTTGTTTTTCAAAACCTCCTATCATTACTTTCATCAGTTCCTAAATCACATTTCAATAGGCTTATTGTGCAAGAGAATAATCTTGCTATGCTTTCTCACTCTTTTAATGGAAACTATGAATCTCTTTGATTGATTTGTGGGTGATGGAGGAGGATGCACCTGCATCTGGGGAATGATGGAATTAGACTAAGAAATATAGTATCAGTCCTTACCCATGCATTTTAGTTTTAGGGACTATTTGGAGAAACGAAATTGTCTGCAATTGTCTACGACGTGAAGTGAGGAATGATGAACATAATATTGTTTTGGTCAATCTCACTACTAATGAATTCAAGATGTTTCTTATCCCAAGAAAGAGTAATAATTATGCTTTTCTTCAATTATGTGAAAAACCTTGTACCAGTTGACAACAACTATACTGAAGAGCTTTGATCCTAGATCTTAATTATCCCATTACAAATTTATTTTAGCGCATATGTTCAATACCAGGTTCTTGTAGCTTTCTGCCAATCTATAACATTAGAATGTTCAGTTTTCTTTCGATGGTGGGTATTAAATTAAGTTTTCTTGCATTTTCATTTTACTTATGTTGATTTATGGTAGTTGTTTTCCACCAACTAGAGGTTGGGTGCTCGTTGGACCATTGGTGGATTGGATGAGTGTTTTTGTTAAAGAGTTTTCTGTGATGTGAGGTTCACAATGCAAAGTCTTCATTAATATTTTTTCACCAATCTATTCAATTTACTGTTGCCTTTCAGTGCTTATGATTCATTTTTTTCCTTCTTGCTTTCAATTTCTTCTCCTCTTCCCCACTTTTTATTTTTTTTTTCCTCCTGTCATCATTTCATGTTTTCCAGACGCAATTTATTCAAGCACCATGAGAAAGTGTTTCTTCCCTCAAACACTATGTAGTAGATGGCATTGGACAGCCAAATTTTTGTTTCCTATCCTACAGTTTTATTTCAGATATTTGTAAAACATTTCAGTCATCATAAGAGGATTGAAGAAATATTTTCAATGTCAAGTTCTTGTAGCTTTCTGCCTATCTATAATATCAGGATGTTCAGTTTTCTTTCGATGATTTCTTGCATTTTCATTTTACTTATATTGATTTATGATAGTTGTTTTCCACCAACTAGAGTTTGGGTGCTCTTTGGACCAATGGTGGATTGGATGAGTGTTTGCTAAAGAGTTTTATGTGATTTGAGGTTCGCAATTTGTTGATGTTTTGTCACTGATCTATTCAATTTAATCTTACCTTTCAATGCCTAGGTGATAGTTTTTTTTTTTTTTTTCCTTTTTGCTTTCAATTTCTTCTCCTCTTCCCCACTTTTTAATTTTTTTCTTCCTGTCATCATTTCATGTTTTCCAAACACAATTTATTCAACCACCATGAGAAAGTGCTTCTTCCCTCAAGCACTATGCAATGGATGACATTGGACAGTCAAAAATCTTTTTCTATCCTACAATTTTATTTCAGACATTTGTAAAACATTTCAGTCATCGTAAGAGGATTGAAGAAATATCTTCAATGTCAAGTTCTTGTACCTTTCTGCCTATCTATAATATCAGGATGTTCAGTTTCTTTCGATGATTTCTTGCATTTTCATCTTACTTTTGTTTATTTATGATAGTTGTTTTCCACCAACTAGAGTTTGGGTGCTCTTTGGACCAATGGTGGATTGGATGAGTGTTTGCTGAAGAGTTTTTTGCGATTTGAGGTTCACAATACACAATCTTTGTTGATGTTTTTTCATCGATCTATTCAATTTAATCTTGCCTTTCAGTCCTTAAACCCCACCTCCCCCCCGCGTTTTGCTTCAATTTCTTCTCCTCTTCCCCACTTTTTTTTTTTTAAATTTTTCCTCCTGTCATCATTTCATGTTTTCTAGACACAATTTATTCAAGCATCATGAGAAAGTGCTTCTTCCCTCAAGCACTATGTAATAGATGGCATTTGACAGCCAAAAATCTTTTTTTATCCTACAGTTTTATTTTAGATATTTGCAAAATATTTCAATCCTCATGAGAATAAGAAGATTGAAGAAATATTTTGAACATCTTTCATCACTTGATGCCACGTGGCACATGCAGTAAAAGGCAAAAAAAAAATGAAAATTCACTGGTAAAACTAAAATTTTAAAAATCGGATCGATCGATTTAACTAATTAAATCAAGAATTGGCCCTTTTATCAAATCCAGTCAACTCCCAGACCAAACAGTTGACCAACTGGCTAACCCGTTAAAAACTCATTTAACGGTTTAAAAGGCGACCGGCTTTACGCTCATGAACCAGATTCAACTTTTTTTTTCTTTTTTTTTTTTTTAGGAAAGGGGCGAAGTCTGTAATTTCCACACGGTCACGAGATGTAATTTATTATTTTTGACAACCAAACCCCGTTTCAACTCACTGTTGCCGGCCTCCTCTTATTTTATAGGCAATCATCCAAGTGAAGAATTTGCTATCTGTCGATGTGGGACTCAATGGTTTTTAATAACAGCACTTGCTTTCTTCGTTGCCCCTTTTTTCTCATAATCTTGAAAATATTGATGCAAAGGACTTAATTGAAAGATAAATTATGTTCAAGAATCAAGTTCAATTTATGAACCAAACTAAATATTTTTTTATTAAACAAAATAAACAAATGATCAAAATACTTCTCTATTTAAACAAATAATTTTTCTAAAAAAAGCTGCATGTTAACACGAAAACCCCAAGCTAAAGAAGCCTTGCACCTCAAAGCTTTGGCTTAGGATATATGGCTTCTGACTTGGATGCAATGCTTTTGATTGGGGTGCAAGACTTTAAATTTAGGGTGCAAAGTTTTTGGTTGAGGTGCAAAGTTTCTTTGGCTTGAGATATACGTGTTAAACATACAGTTTTTTTTAATTCAATTTCATTTGTTTAAACAAAAAAAAAAACATTTTGGTCATTTGCTTATATTGTTTAATAAATAAAATATTTAATTTGATCTTTGAATTCAATTTGATCCTTGGCACAATTTCTCTTTTAATTAGGTCATTTTCACCAATTTTTCCCATAATCTTTGTTGAGTCATTTTAATTATTTCCTGAATCTTGAATTATTTTTTCAGCGTGACTGCATATAATTAATCTTTATACTTTAAATTATTTATCTATATTTTTAAACTTCATTATAGTTAATTTAATTTTAAAAACCCTTCAATGAATGAGTGCGTTTAAATATATTAAATAAGTTTAGAGATATTTTACAAAATTTCATCTCTAATATACCATTTAGCATATAAAATTAAAAATATATTAAATTAGTTTCAATCGGTTCAACTACAGTCTAACCATCAATCCTTAAATCAATGTCTTGTTTGGTTCAACGATCAATACAATTTTTAATAGCTTGATAAAAAAAGAGAAAAAGTGAACCATAACAAAAAAATAAATACTATACTGTAGAAATAAATGAGAGAATGATAGATAGATCACAAGAGATTAATAATTCAAATGAGGTTTTAAGTGTCAAATTTTATGAATTTACAAGTTTGACCCTCAATTTTATAACTTTATTATGATAAATTTATAATTTGTGCTTCAAATTTTAATAGAGAAAATAAATTTATTTATTTTTTAATCATATTAAAATTTAAAAGTTAAATTATAAATTTATTATAATAAAATTATAAAATTAAAAGATGAACTTATAAATTCTAACATTTAATATCTAATTTAAATTTACTAGTTCTTGAGACTTATATGTCGTTTTCCTTAAATAAATCTTAATTGAAAAGGGACGAGGTAGTGGTACCGAAAAAACAAATCATTCGACAAAAACAAGAGATGGTAAAAGACAAAAAAATTATCAAAAATATTGGGTGAGAAAATACAAAAAAGAGGAAGGACAATAGATGGAATCACACCAACCAATGAAACCATACAGATTACCTGTTCTGCTGTTCACTACTACATGAAAATGTATCTGGAGCGGGTTGATTCTTTTTGGTCTCATATGTATAGATTCTTATATGCACAGATTTATAGATATTGGCCCAGAAAACCGATTTATCAATAATATATGTAGTTTATCAGTAAAATAGACAGCGATCTGTTCTTCCTCGTTGAGCACCATGAAGCAGGTGGCAGTGGACGACGACACAGCAATTCTTCCCCAAGATATCATCACAAACATTCTCAAACGACTTCCCGTAAAATCCCTAATCCGATTTCGATGTGTTTGCAAAAACTGGAAAAATCTCTTCAAGACTGCATCTTTCATCGCTGACCATCTCCATCACACTGGTAGTCAAACCTCTTCTCTCCTTTTAGGAGGGGCTAACCCAATTGTTCCTGCGTACTTGGGTTTTGTCGATCAAAAAATGCAAGTATTTGAAGCTCAAAGCGCACCTCTAATCGGTTCCTTGTTGGGTGTTAATACCATAGGTTCTAGCCATGGCTTGGTCTGCCTCCAACGCAATGAGGCTTCCATCTTCGTATGGAATCCAGCTACTAGAGAGGTTAGACAGGTGTCCGTAGCTGTTAATATTTCTGCGCGTGAGTCTTTCAAGATGGGATTTGGGTTTTGTCCACTTGTTAATGATTACAAGATAGTGAGAATGCGTGTTTCTTCAAATAATGAACGGTCTATTCGCATGGAAGAGTCTCCCGTATGTGCTAAGCTGGTTAATCAAGTGCAATTATATTCACTGAGCACAAGAACGTGGAATGCAATAGAATTTGGGAACTTAGACTGTGTATATCTTATTTCTAACAGTTTCCCTGCAAATGGAGCTATCTTTTGGTTTGGGTTTATGCTAAATTTGGGGCAGGAGGATGAAAATTATGTTCAATTGATAGTTTCATTTGACATAGCAATTGAAGTGTTTACTTTGATACCATTACCTACTTCAGTCCCTAAATCACTTTTCAATAGGCTTACTGTGCATGAGAATAATCTTGCTATGCTTTCTCACACTTTCAGTGGAAACTATGAATCTTCCTTGATTGATTTGTGGGTGATGGAGGAGGGCGCAGGTGCGTCCGGGGAAAGATGGAATTGGACTAAGAAATACAGTGTCAGCCCTTACCCATGCATTTTAGTTCCTTGGACTATTTGGAGGAACGAAATTGTCTGCAATTTTGTACCCACTTGGGAAACTGAACGTGAAAGGAGGAATAATGAACAAAATATTGTCATGGTCAATCTCACTACTAATGAATTCAAGACGGTTGCTATCCCAAGGAAGAGAAATGGTTATGTTATCTTCAATTATGTAGAAAGCCTTGTACCAGTTGGCAACAACCATATTGAAGAGCTTTGATCCTAGAGTTTAATTATTACCTTGGGGATTTACTTTAAGATAATTTGCTGGAGAAGATCAACCTGTACTTGTGACGATCATTTTGTACCTATGAGGCTCGATGCCGTTTAGAGATTTTATTGAGATCGGTAATGCAGATATTTAATACTGGATGTTGGTAGCTTTACTTGACCAGCCTATTCTGTAAATATCATGTTGTTCAGTTTTCTTTTTCTAGATTACTGGAGACATTTATCTCTTTTTATTTTGTTAACCTAGTTGTCTTGGTAAGATGGAGATATAATTATGGAAGATGGATGCATTCTTCATATGTTTTGTGTTTTGATTGAATGATGATCCTTTTATATGTGAGATGCCATTTGCTACAATCTTTTTGTTTGTATCTCACGGCCTACGTTCAAATAAGTAAGACGTAATATCTGTTCTTGTTAAGTACTGCTTAGAAGGTGGAACAGGTTTCTTTTTTCTGAAATTTGAAACTTCTACCGTCATGTGCGAAGCTTTGGCTCTCAAGAGGGGGATGCAGATGATTCTAGATTTGGGATTTGGTTAGGTTGTTTTGAGTCTGATTGTTAGCTGTTGATGAACACTGGGGTTCATGAATGGCATTGCGGTGCTGTTCTGAAGAATATTGTGCTCTACAATAATGGCTTTAGGAACTGTAGCTTTGTATGGGAGTTTTTTGTAATGACTAAAAAACCAGACTAAACTTGATGGTCAAACTGTCGACCAATTAAGCTAACAACTTAGTCAAGCTTCGGTGAGTTGGGCCGGATTGAGCTGCTTTGGACTGATAACTGGGTCCAGTTTTAAAAAAATGGACTATTAAAAAAATGTCTTTTTCTTTTGTTTAATTTTTTTAGAAAATGATCAATTTTTTTAATTATTTGATTTATGTTGTATCATGTGGCTTGTTAAGTCATGATAAACTTAAAATATTTGGTTTTATTTGTAAGTTAAGTAGCAATTTCATATTTATTTCTTATATTTATATTATTATATATATATATATATATATAATTTTTTAATTTAATTATTATGCCACCAGATCAACCATTGGTCCAACCCAATTTAATCATGTGAATCGTGAACTATTAATATTTTTAGTTTAATATCAATTTGATTTTAAAAACATTGGTCTTTTGTAATATGATGGTAAGCCCTTTTGGAATCCCATCTTGAAGCTGACAGGTGCACAATTGGCGATGGTATATTTGGTTTGATTGTGTTTGATGTTTAGCTTCTCTTCTTGCTGTTGCTTTGTTTTACTGTAAAATTTAAGCTTGGTTTAAATGGACGGACAAGTGAAAATGAAATAGGAAAAAGAGAAAACTACCAAAAAACAAAATTTGTTTCACTTTTTAGGATTTTTTTCTAGTTTTCCTCTCTTTTTTTTTCCTTATCCAAACAAAGGGTAAATGTTTTGATTTTGATGTTGAATGCGACTTTCCTTTTTGGCCAATGAAAGACAGGAAGGTCATATGTTAACAAGTTAGCATAATTCCTCCTTACACGTTCTTCTTCTAATAGATCTCAAATCATGCGTAAAATTTGATGACCATCACGTATCATATCAAGCTGCTGCTGCTTCTTTTTTTTTTTTTTTAATTGAAAAGTTCTTTTATCTTTGTAGTTTTCTGTAACTATAGATGTAAATTGATGAATAAAGCATAATTTTTAAAAAGTTTTACCTCATAAGTTTTATCATATTTTTCAAGTTTTAGAAAAGTTTTTTTATAAACAAAAATATGTTTCGTCACATATTATAAATAACTAGGAAACTAGCCTTTACTACCCCATGCATTACACAAGAGCATTAACTAAATAGATATTAATATCATTTAGTACATATAATTAATCTAAAAGAGTGTAATTAATTTTGTTAAATTACCATAAAACTTCGAAATATAATTAACTAACCATACCAATTCACTATTACAAAAATGACTTTTTACAGCGGTTAAATAGGTGATGTTATTACAAAGGATGTAGAAAGTCCAACTTTCTATATCGGTTATACAACCGCTGTAAAAAATACATATTCTACATTGACTAATCATAACCAATGTAGAAAATGGATCAACGATTAGAAAATTAAAAACTGGAGTACTTTCTACAGCGGTTGGAAGACAACTGGTATAGAAAGTTCACTTTCTACAACGGTTGGAACACAACCGGTGTAGAAAGTCGAACCATAACCGATGTAAAAAATGAATCAACAATTAAAAAATTAAAAAGTGGAGCACTTTCTACATCGGTTGGAACACAACCGGTGTATAAAGTGGCTTTCTACACCAGTTGTCTTCCAACCGCTATAGAAAGTGTGCTATTTTACACCCGTTGTGTTCCAACCGTTGTTTTACACTAGTTGTGTTCCAACCACTGTAGAAAGTGCACTATTTTACACCAATTTTCACATTAACTGATATAGAATAGTGTTTTTTACACCAGTTATGGTAATAACCGCTATAAAAAGTGTATTTTATTTTTAAAATAAATGTTCATGTTTTTAAATTTACCCTACTCTATGTATAAAAATTACCATAGCCAAATCAGACAGCACAATTTATTTACAATTTTCAATATAAAATTAAATTAACAATTATCTAAAACTCAAAGTTATCTATAAACTATATATTGAGCTATCCAAAATATTATGTTAACAAATGTTTTCAAAAGTTGTCTACAACTAACAAACTTCTTAAATTGCATGAAATTTTCTATAAAACTCACAAATTCTCCCCAAAATAAATTGCCCAACGTATATGAATATCTTCAATTTTAGCTTTGGAAAATGGATCCGAATTGTCAAATATCTAAAATATAATTTGTAAAAGAGACTTATTATGTACTCTCAAATAACATAATAAAATAAAACTCTTAAAAATATATTTACCTCTTTTGTAAATTCAGTCATGCCTAATGTGATAATGTTGAGCATATGTCTCATCACATATAGGTCACACAAATTCGTCTTCACTAGTTGTCTATGGCTCTATATAAGAAAAAATCATGAAAAATCTTAGTAATTGAACATATTCATAAAATATAGCATTACCTTTAGCTCGATCTATGTAGAATCCTTAAGCTCATGTCCGTGCCTTTACAAGACCACATTTTGATATGTTTTCATTGCTCTATGTTCAAGATCACCAAGTTAGTAACTAAAATATTTAGTGTAAATTATATTAAATATTTTTGCATAAATATACTTACAAGTCTATTGTCTTCTTCATTTTCTTCCAAAGTTTGTAATGGAAGGAACATAAGAAGAAAATAGTTTTACTCTTTATTGAAAGAACAAACAACTACCAATGGTTCCTGAAAAATATGATGAGTTAAAGTAAATCTACATTGAAAAAACTATTAATTATAAATTGATCCTTACGAGTGCACATATGGAGCCATAAAAACATCTTTCTTGACTTCACATATTCTTTACTGGAGATACTGGGCCCTTAACTCCAAAATATTTCCTTTCTCTGCCATGTGATGTGGGCAAAGGAATCCAAACTTATCACCTTTGCTTGATACGATGCACAAATAATGAAGGTACCTACAGCAATGCAATTGTGTTAAATCACTAGACTTGATAATTAAGTTAATTTTATTAAACAAACACAAACTTACATCATAAATAATTCAATGTGTGGTGTGGTAAGCTAACTATTTGACAAAAGACCAAGCAAATCTTCCCGTTCAATTGTCACTATCATGTCTTTCTTACCCACAACCTCCGAATCCATTTTAAAATCTTTGAGTTTGAATGATGGATCATATGCTATTAAGATCATTCGTTGGTGTGGAGTTAGCGAGGGTTCTGGAAGTTTTGGAAGATTCGACAAGAAAAGCTATTATACATAATAAAAAAGAAAGAAATAGTTAGTAAGAAAACATTTTAAGAAAGCTACCACATAATAAAATTGCATACCACAGGTTGAACCATATTCACAAGTCTCTTGGGCCACAGGATAAAATTGCCAACAGCTTTTACTACAGTCTTTACCTCATTAGTAAGGAATGGAACTAATGCATTTAACACTTTTGGATCTTCAACTACCACTCTTACTTGATAATCTTGAATTTGCTTATGGTGGATGGTTGACCCCAACTTGTAAACGCTACCAAGAGAAACCAAACGTCTATCAGGATCTTCTAAAAATATCTCGCATGGTTCACTAATGTTGTCACTAGAAAAACTCTCTAATACATGCTTAAGAACATTACTCTCTTTTGTGCTATAAAATCCAGGAGACATATGAATTAGTTCAGTAGGCATCTCCTGTCGTGAGCTCATCATGCTCATCATCTCCTCTTTCATTTTCTCCTTCATTTGTAAAAATCAGGCTGCGAATGAAGCTTCAAACTCTTCTTTAGTTTGCTGTCTCATAGTAGATATCACTATTTCAAGCTCTTCTCTAGTCACTACACCTCCTGAGGTGGGGTGTAAAGGTGCTCTAAAGCAGTCTCTTATGCCCACACCATGTCTAATGCCCCTCACACGATCCAAATGCTCTGGTTTTCCTGTTGCAACCATCAAGATATCATTTCTGCCCTCTTATATGAAACTTCCTTGGGCTTGTTGCTCCTTAAGAGCATCCTGTAACATAAAAATAATAATTTTAATTAATATTATATACAATTATATAGAAATTTAAAGGGACAAGAAATAATAATATTACTTACAATCCTCTTAGCAATCTCGTGCGCCGTCTCGCTTGTATAGCCTTTTTTGCCTCTTTTTTGTATTAGTGTCCATATCTCCATTTCTTCTCTCAGGAGACGGGGGATGGTGGAGAAAGGAGTATAGAAGGATCGAACTTAGCTTTTCTTCTCTCTTCTTCTGTTTCTCCACCATCAATATGTTATCAACCCTAGCATAACCCTCACGAGACAGCATGTGGGGGCATTGATTCTGTCAAGAAATTTCTTACCCTTTAGCTCGTTTTTCTTGTTAAAAAAATGAATTTTAAATTTTATAGTTGAAATAAAACTAAACAAAACTTAAATCAATTAGAAATCAACAAACCAAAGCTTTTTTAGAAGTTTAAATCCTGACAAATTCTTGCCAAGTATCTTCATTAAGGAACTGGTATGTGTCGAGAGAATTAGGACGAGCCTGACCCTCTGGCACCTAAATATGGATATATCTCCTAGCAAGATCAATCTTAAAATTTCTCCAGCGCGTTCCACA